CCCCCCCCTGAGCCTGAGCCCCAGCTCCTCTGAGCCACCCACCCTTGGGAGCCTTCCTCCGTCCAGGCTTCCCAGGGCAGCCCCCCTGGGCCGCGGACATCCTTTATTTTCGTCGTGGTTTGTGGTTCGTGGTGGTTCGCCCACCTCGGCCCCACCCCGAGCCTGAGCCCCAGCTCCCCTGGGCCACCCACCCTTCGGAGGCTTGTTCCGTCCAGGCTTCCCGGGACAGCCCCCCTGGGCCGCGGACATCCTTATTTTCGTTCGTCGTCATTCCTTCGTTCGTCATTCGTCTTTCCCCCCCTGGCCACAGAAGGAAACTCCTGGAGGAAGGAGGCGAAAGCCTCCTGTCCCTCGCAGCCCCTTTGTGCAAGAGCCAGGGCACGCGGGCCACTTGTTTTCTTGGGCAGTGGGTTGGCCACTTGGGTGGCCGCCTTTCCCGTCTCTATCCCTTCAAGAATTTGCTTTCGCCTTATCGCCGCGCACGTTCGTTTGAACAGTCTGGTAACAACTGCCTCGTGGGTGGTCACTACACTGTTTCTGAATGGGGCGTCCGTTGAATGCTTACTTGAGTGTTTATTGTGAGTCTGGTCTGGAGGGCGGCTCTTGTTCGAAATGGGGCTCCCGCTTGTGCTTCCCCCGCGCTTTCTGTTCCGATGTTGATATCCATGGGGCGGTTGCACGGACGGAGGGCGGCTCCTTTGAAACATGTGGCTTTCGCCTGGGGCACTTCGCTGACCTTGGCGACCCTGCGTCTTGATGCTGCTGCTCATAGCCGTAAGATTGGAGGGCGGTTATGTTATCAGCACGGGGCTCCCACCATGGGGTGCTCGTTGTTCAAGGGGAGGTATCCCGTAGTGAAGGTTCACATTCTCATTCACTTTCAAGGAATTGTGAGGAGGCGACTCGGGACGGGCGACGGGGGGGTGTATTGCAGCTCAGGGGTGTGCCCTGGGGCCCTGGTTTTACTCGGGTCCTCCTCCCTGCTCCCAGCCTTGATTCTGTCGTCGCAGAAGACAACGACCCCCCTGATGACGTGTGCCGCCGGGGCCCGATGATCCTCCGCCTCCTCGTCGTCCTCCTCCGTAGCCTTTTTAGCTCAAGCTAGCCTGGCCTACGTGGGCCACTCGGGCGTCCTTCCAGTCCACCAGACGCCTACCCTCGGGGCCATGGGCAAGCCGGCCCTCGGAGCGGCGGTGGCAGCTGTGGCGGTGGCCGGGGGCGGGTACCAGCTGGCCGAGTCCTTCGTCCCTGGCGCGCTCGGCCCGCAGCCCGCGGCCAGCCGCCTGGCTCTCCGCGGCGCGGCGGCGGCGGCCGAGGAGGCGTCCCTGGGGGCGCGGGCTGGCGTCGGCGCGGGGCCCCTGCTGGCGCTCGCCGGCGCTGTCGGCGCGGTGGCCCCGCGCCTCGCGTCGCGCCCGAGGCCCGCCCGCACGGCGCGGGCGGCCGCCGCGGCCGTGCCCGCGGCCGCGCCCGCGGAGGAGGAGGAGGCGCCGCCGCCGTTCGACCCGGCCCAGCAGCTGGGGGCCATGGCCCCGCTGGGCTTCTTCGACCCGCTGGGCTTCTGCAAGGTCGGCGACGAGGAGGGCTTCCGCAAGCTGCGCTCCGCCGAGCTGAAGCACGGGCGCGTGGCCATGATGGCGTCGGTGGGCGCGGTGGTCCAGGCTCTCCTTCCGGGCGAGGGGCCGAAGGGCCTCGGAGCCGTGGCTTCGGCGCCAGAGGGCCTGGCGGCGCTGGTGCTGGTGTCTGGCGCCCTCGAGCTCACCATCTGGAGGGACGACCCCGCGAAGGGCGTGGACTCCATCGGTGACTTCGGCAACCCCCTGCAGCTGGGCGTCGGGGAGCCGCTGGGCGAGTCCGAGGACATGAAGAACCGGGAGCTCAACAACGGCAGGGCCGCCATGTTCGCCACGCTCGGCATAGTCGTGGCCGAGCTGGCCACGGGCAAGAACGCCCTGGAGCAGCTCCTGTGAGTCCCCGCCCCCCGCCCGCGGCTTCGGTAGCTGGTAGCTCCCCGTTTTCGCGCACGCAGTGTCTCGCGGCGGCGCCTTGTTCGCCCCGCTCTCCACGCGCGCCGCTGGCTCCGCCAGGCTTCTGGCCCAGCATGTCTGGCCCTCGCACGCCAACGCGTTGCAGGGGCCTCCTCTTCAGGCGGGTTCCTCGCCTCCTCACTCCGCGGCGTGCTGTCGCTTGCGGCTGATGCGTCGCGATACGTCTCCTCCTCCTGCCTACTTCGGCTCCTCGGAGCCAGCCCCGGCCTACACGCGGCTGACTCAGCATCGGGTGTGGCTGGCATTATTTTCTTGGGCAGTGGGTTGGCCACTTGGGTGGCCGCCTTCCCCGTCCCTATCCCTTCAAGAATTTGCTTTTGCCTTGTCGCCGCGCACGTTCGTTTGAACAGTCTGGTAACAACTGCCTCGTGGGTGGTCACTACAATGTTTCTGAATGGGGCGTTCGTTTAATGCTTACTTGAGTGTTTATTGCGAGTCTGGTCTGGAGGGCGGCTCTTGTTCGAAATGGGGCTCCCGCTTGTGCTTCCCCCGCGCTTTCTGTTCCGATGTTGATATCCATGGGGCGGTTGCACGGACGGAGGGCGGCTCCTTTGAAACATGTGGCTTTCGCCTGGGGCACTTCGCTGACCTTGGCGACCCTGCGTCTTGATGCTGCTGCCCATAGCCGTAAGATTGGAGGGCGGTTATGTTATCAGCACGGGGCTCCCACCATGGGGTGCTCGTTGTTCAAGGGGAGGTATCCCGCAGTGAAGGTTCTCATTCTCATTCACTTTCAAGGAACTGTGAGGAGGCGACTCGGGACGGGCGACGGGGGGGTGTATTGCAGCTCAGGGGTGTGCCCTGGGGCCCTGGGTTTACTCGGGTCCTCCTCCCTGCTCCCAGCCCTGATTCTGTCGTCGCAGAAGACAACGACCCCCCTGATGACGTGTGCCGCCGGGGCCCGATGATCCTCCGCCTCCTCGTAGTCCTCCGCCGGCCTTCTTAGCTCAAGCTAGCCTGGCCTACGCGGGCCACTCGGGCGTCCTCCCAGTCCACCAGAAGCCTACCCTCGGGGCCATGGGCAAGACGGCCCTCGGAGCGGCAGTGGCAACTGCGGCGGTGGCCGGGGGCGGGTACCAGCTGGCCGAGTCCTTCGTCCCTGGCGCGCTCGGCCCGCAGCCCGCGGCCAGCCGCCTGGCTCTCCGCGGCGCGGCGGCGGCGGCCGAGGAGGCGTCCCCGGGGGCGCAGGCTGGCGTCGGCGCGGGGCCCCTGCTGGCGCTCGCCGGCGCCGTCGGCGCGGTGGCCCCGCGCCTCGCGTCGCGCCCGAGGCTTGCCCGCACGGCGCGGGCGGCCGTCGCGGCCGTGCCCGCGGCCGCGCCCGCGGAGGAGGAGGAGGCGCCGCCGCCGTTCGACCCGGCCCAGCAGCTGGGGGCCATGGCCCCGCTGGGCTTCTTCGACCCGCTGGGCTTCTGCAAGGTCGGCGACGAGGAGGGCTTCCGCAACCTGCGCTCCGCCGAGCTGAAGCACGGGCGCGTGGCCATGATGGCGTCGGTGGGCGCGGTGGTCCAGGCTCTCCTTCCGGGCGAGGGGCCGAAGGGCCTCGGAGCCGTGGCTTCGGCGCCAGAGGGCCTGGCGGCGCTGGTGCTGGTGTCTGGCGCCCTCGAGCTCACCATCTGGAGGGACGACCCCGCGAAGGGCGTGGACTCCATCGGTGACTTCGGCAACCCCCTGCAGCTGGGCGTCGGGGAGCCGCTGGGCGAGTCCGAGGACATGAAGAACCGGGAGCTCAACAACGGCAGGGCCGCCATGTTCGCCACGCTCGGCATAGTCGTGGCCGAGCTGGCCACGGGCAAGAACGCCCTGGAGCAGCTCCTGTGAGTCCCCGCCCCCCGCCCGCGGCTTCGGTAGCTGGTAGCTCCCCGTTTTCGCGCACGCAGTGTCTCGCGGCGGCGCCTTGTTCGCCCCGCTCTCCACGCGCGCCGCTGGCTCCGCCAGGCTTCTGGCCCAGCATGTCTGGCCCTCGCACGCCAACGCGTTGCAGGGGCCTCCTCTTCAGGCGGGTTCCTCGCCTCACTCCGCGGCGTGCTGTCGCTTGCGGCTGATGCGTCGCGATACGTCTCCTCTTCCTGCCTACTTCGGCTCCTCGGAGCCAGCCCCGGCCTACACGCGGCTGACTCAGCATCGGGTGTGGCTGGCATTATTTTCTTGGGCAGTGGGTTGGCCACTTGGGTGGCCGCCTTCCCCGTCCCTATCCCTTCCAAGAATTTGCTTTTGCCTTGTCGCCGCGCACGTTCGTTTGAACAGTCTGGTAACAACTGCCTCGTGGGTGGTCACTACAATGTTTCTGAATGGGGCGTTCGTTTAATGCTTACTTGAGTGTTTATTGCGAGTCTGGTCTGGAGGGCGGCTCTTTTTCGAAATGGGGCTCCCGCTTGTGCTTCCCCCGCGCTTTCTGTTCCGATGTTGATATCCATGGGGCGGTTGCACGGACGGAGGGCGGCTCCTTTGAAACATGTGGCTTTCGCCCGGGGCACTTCGCTGACCTTGGCGACCCTGCGTCTTGATGCTGCTGCCCATAGCCGTAAGATTGGAGGGCGGTTATGTTATCAGCACGGGGCTCCCACCATGGGGTGCTCGTTGTTCAAGGGGAGGTATCCCGCAGTGAAGGTTCTCATTCTCATTCACTTTCAAGGAACTGTGAGGAGGCGACTCGGGACGGGCGACGGGGGGGTGTATTGCAGCTCAGGGGTGTGCCCTGGGGCCCTGGGTTTACTCGGGTCCTCCTCCCTGCTCCCAGCCCTGATTCTGTCGTCGCAGAAGACAACGACCCCCCTGATGACGTGTGCCGCCGGGGTCCGATGATCCTCCGCCTCCTCGTAGTCCTCCGCCGGCCTTCTTAGCTCAAGCTAGCCTGGCCTACGCGGGCCACTCGGGCGTCCTCCCAGTCCACCAGAAGCCTACCCTCGGGGCCATGGGCAAGACGGCCCTCGGAGCGGCGGTGGCAGCTGCGGCGGTGGCTGGGGGCGGGTACCAGCTGGCCGAGTCCTTCGTCCCTGGCGCGCTCGGCCCGCAGCCCGCGGCCAGCCGCCTCGCTCTCCGCGGCGCGGCGGCGGCGGCCGAGGAGGCGTCCCCGGGGGCGCAGGCTGGCGTCGGCGCGGGGCCCCTGCTGGCGCTCGCCGGCGCCGTCGGCGCGGTGGCCCCGCGCCTCGCGTCGCGCCCGAGGCCCGCCCGCACGGCGCGGGCGGCCGCCGCGGCCGTGCCCACGGCCGCGCCCGCGGAGGAGGAGGAGGCGCCGCCGCCGTTCGACCCGGCCCAGCAGCTGGGGGCCATGGCCCCGCTGGGCTTCTTCGACCCGCTGGGCTTCTGCAAGGTTCGGGCCGGACGAAAGGGGGGGATAGGGAAAAGGGGGGGTACGAAATTTGCTGCATGCAGCTGGTTTCGGCCCCACCGAGGGGCCCATTCCTCGATACATGGCCGCCTCCAGCGCCGGGAGGCGCTAGGATAATCGGCTACGTGAGCTGATTCTCAAACCCCCCCTTTTGCTATCCCCCCCTTTCGCCCAGCCCGAAAGGTCGGCGACGAGGAGGGCTTCCGCAACCTGCGCTCCGCCGAGCTGAAGCACGGGCGCGTGGCCATGATGGCGTCGGTGGGCGCAGTGGTCCAGGCTCTCCTTCCGGGCGAGGGGCCGAAGGGCCTCGGAGCCGTGGCTTCGGCGCCAGAGGGCCTGGCGGCGCTGGTGCTGGTGTCCGGCGCCCTCGAGCTCACCATCTGGAGGGACGACCCCGCGAAGGGCGTGGACTCCATCGGCGACTTCGGCAACCCCCTGCAGCTGGGCGTGGGGGAGCCGCTGGGCGAGTCCGAGGACATGAAGAACCGGGAGCTCAACAACGGCAGGGCCGCCATGTTCGCCACGCTCGGCATAGTCGTGGCCGAGCTGGCCACGGGCAAGAACGCCCTGGAGCAGCTCCTGTGAGTCCCCGCCCCCCGCCCCCCGCCCATGGTCTCGGCAGCCGGCGGCTTTCGAAGTTTTCGCACGCGCGGTGTCTCGCGGCGGCGCCTTCGCCCCGCTCTCCAAGCGTGCCTCTGGCTCCGCTGGGCTGCTGGCCCAGCATGTCTAGCCCTTGCACTCCAACGCGTTGCAGGAGCCTTCTCTTCAGGCGGATTCCTCGCCTCATTTCGCGGCGTGCTGCCGCTTGCCGCTGACTGATGCGTCGCGAAACGTCGCAGAGCTCCTCCTGCCTTCCGCTTTCAACCTCCTGCTCCCTCCCCCTCTTCTTTCCCCGCCCCCAGACGACTCCTCGAGAGCATAAGTCATGCCTGGTGCTTCGTACCTCTGCAACCCCGTGCCACTTTTGGGCCCAACAACCCCATTACCTTCCTAACTTTCAGTAGGAGCAATCGCAGGTACAAACGCATTCATCATCTTTCCTACCCCCAGGTGGAGGTTGGGCCAGGAAAGCCCTTCTAGGTGCAGTCGGTGCGTTCGAAGAACGCAGCAGTCTGACCATAGCAAGCAAGGGTCGACGACGCCGACCGCGAACAACTGCCACTTCCTGCCTTTGAGAAGCGCCTATGTTGCCACACAATGGTCCGAAGTCTTGCCAAGCTGTTGGTGTTCCCCCCAGCCGTTGTGGAAACGCTTGGGGGAACACTTGGGGGAGGAATAATCAGAGAGAGAGAGAGAGAGACACACAGAGCTGCGGCTGCTGATGCTTCTACTGATGATGATGCTGATGATGATAATGAAAACGATGGTGATGCTGATGGTGATGATGACGCTTGTCATGATGATGACGATGACGATGATTATGCTGTTTATCATGGCGATGATAATAATAATGCCGACGGTGACGGTGATGGTGATGATGCTGATGATTATGATGATGCTGATGATGATTTTGCTGATGATGATGAATCTGCTGGTGTTGGTGATAATGATGATCATGATTATGATGATGGTGATGCTGCTGTTTTTTCTGCTGTTGGTGATGATGCCGATTCGGCTCATGTTATGATGCTGTAGGTTATGGTGATGGTGCTGATGATGGTGAAGTTCTTGATGATGGTGGTGGTGATGATGATGATGATGGTGCTGGTGGTGGCGGTGATGCTGCTGCTGCTGATTCCGTTGCGACTGCTGCTGATGATGCTGATAATGATGATGCTGCCGATGATGATGCTGATGCTAGTGATGCATATGCTGATGCTGATGCTGCTGATGATGATGAAGATGCTGATGACGCGTGTGATGCTGATTGTGGTGGTGGTCGTGGTCATGATGATTACGATGATGTTTTTGATGAGGTTGGTGCTGCTGATGATGCTGATCATTCTGCTGCTGATGCTGCTGATGATGATGCTGATGCTGATGCTGCTGCTGATGATGATGATGGTGATGATGATGAGGATGATGCTGATGACGATGGCGGCGATGATGATGATGATGATGATGATGATGCTGTCGAAGACGATGTTGCTGATGACGATGATGATGATGATGATGATGATGATGATGATGATGATGATGATGATGCTGCTGATGCTGATGCTGATGCTGATGCTGATGCTGATGAGGATA